CCAACACCTGCAATATAACCTCCAACACCTGCACTATAACCTCCAACACTTGCAATATAACCTCCAACACCTGCACTATAACCTCCAACACCTGCACTATAACCTCCAGCACCTGCAATATAACCTCCAGCACCTGCACTATAACCTCCAACACCTGCACTATAACCTCCAACACCTGCAATATAACCTCCAACACATGCAATATAACCTCCAACACCTGCAATATAACCTCCAACACCTGCAATATAGCCTCCAACACCTGCAATATAACCTCAAACACCTGCAATATAACCTCCAACACCTGCAATATAACCTCCAACACCTGTAATATAACCTCCAACACCTGCAATATAACCTTCAACACCTGCAATATAACCTTCAACACCTGCACTATAACCTCCAACACCTGCAATATAACCTTCAACACCTGCAATATAACCTCCAACACCTGTAATATAACCTCCAACACTTGTAATATAACCTTCAACACCTGCAATATAACCTCCAACACCTGCAATATAACCTTCAACACCTGCAATATAACCTCCAACACCTGCAATATAACCTTCAACACCTGCAATTAACCTCCAACACCTGCAATATAACCTTCAACACCTGCAATATAACCTCCAACACCTGCAATATAACCTTCAACACCTGCAATATAACCTCCAACACCTGCAATATAACCTTCAACACCTGCAATATAACCTCCAACACCTGCAATATAACCTTCAACACCTGCAATATAACCTCCAACACCTGCAATATAACCTTCAACACCTGCAATATAACCTCCAACACCTGCAATATAACCTTCAACACTGCAATATAACCTCCAACACCTGCAATATAACCTTCAACACCTGCAATATAACCTCCAACACCTGCACTATAACCTCCAGCACCTGCAATATAACCTCCAACACCTGCAATATAACCTTCAACACCTGTAATATAACCTCCAACACCTGCAATATAACCTCCAACACCTGCAATATAACCTCCAACACCTGTAATATAACCTCCAACACCTGCAATATAACCTTCAACACCTGTAATATAACCTCCAACACCTGCAATATAACCTCCAACACCTGCAATATAACCTCCAACACCTGTAATATAACCTCCAACACCTGCAATATAACCTCCAACACCTGCAATATAACCTTCAACACCTGCAATATAACCTTCAACACCTGTATTATAACCTCCAACACCTGCAATATAACCTCCAACACCTGCAATATAACCTCCAACACCTGTAATATAACCTCCAACACCTGCAATATAACCTCCAACACCTGCAATATAACCTTCAACTCCTGTAATATAACCTCCAACACCTGCAATATAACCTCCAACACCTGCAATATAACCTCCAACACCTGTAATATAACCTCCAACACCTGCAATATAACCTCCAACACCTGCAATATAACCTTCAACACCTGTAATATAACCTCCAACACCTGCAATATAACCTCCAACACCTGCAATATAACCTCCAATACCTGCAATATAACCTCCAACACCTGCAATATAACCTCCAACACCTGCAATATAACCTTCAACACCTGCAATATAACCTCCAACACCTGCAATATAACCTCCAACACCTGCAATATAACCTTCAACACCTGCAGGCACTAAAGTTTGAGGCCTTCGTCTTTCTCTTACTAAAGTTCTTCGGTAATTCTTATCAACATTTAAACTTCGTTCTCAACTCTCCATTTAAAAGTTCACGTTGAGAACGACTCAGTGGTCAAGTTTAAGGTCATAATTTCCCTGGAGGCTGGATAGTCTCTAGCCTGCCTTCCTGGAGGCTGGATAGACTCTAGCCTGCCTTCCTGGAGGCTGGATAGACTCTAGCCTGCCTTCCTGGAAGCTGGATAGACTCTAGCCTGCCTTCCTGGAAGCTGGATAGACTCTAGCCTGCCTTCCTGGAGGCTGGATAGACTCTAGCCTGCCTTCCTGGAGGCTGGATAGATTCTAGCCTGCCTTCCTGGAAGCTGGATAGACTCTAGCCTGCCTTCCTGGAAGCTGGATAGACTCTAGCCTGCTTTCCTGGACGCTGGATAGACTCTAGCCTGCCTTCCTGGAGGCTGGATAGACTCTAGCCTGCCTTCCTGGAAGCTGGATAGACTCTAGCCTGCTTTCCTGGACGCTGGATAGACTCTAGCCTGCCTTCCTGGAGGCTGGATAGTCTCTAGCTTGCCTTCCTGGAGGCTGGATAGACTCTAGCCTGCCTTCCTGGAGGCTGGATAGTCTCTAGCCTGCCTTCCTGGAGGCTGGATTGACTCTAGCCTGCCTTCCTGGAGGCTGAATAGACTCTAGCCTGCCTTCCTGGAAGCTGGATAGACTCTAGCCTGCCTTCCTGAAGGCTGGATAGACTCTAGCCTGCCTTCCTGGAGGCTGGATAGTCTCTAGCCTGCCTTCCTGGAGGCTGGATAGACTCTAGCCTGTCTTCCTGGAGGCTGGATAGACACTAGCCTGCCTTCCTGGAGGCTGGATAGTCTCTAGCCTACCTTCCTGGAGGCTGGATAGACTCTAGCCTGCCTTCCTGGAGGCTGGATAGACTCTAGCCTGCCTTCCTGGAGGCTGGATAGACTCTAGCCTGTCTTCCTGGAGGCTGGATAGACACTGGGCCTGCCTTCCTGGAGGCTGGATAGTCTCTAGCCTACCTTCCTGGAGGCTGGATAGACTCTAGCCTGCCTTCCTGGAGGCTGGATAGACTCTAGCCTGTCTTCCTGGAGGCTGGATAGACACTAGCCTGCCTTCCTGGAGGCTGGATAGTCTCTAGCCTACCTTCCTGGAGGCTGGATAGACTCTAGCCTGCCTTCCTGGAGGCTGGATAGACTCTAGCCTGCCTTCCTGGAGGCTGGATAGACTCTAGCCTGTCTTCCTGGAGGCTGGATAGTCTCTAGCCTGCCTTCCTGGAGGCTGAATAGACTCTAGCCTGCCTTCCTGCAAGCTGGATAGTCTCTAGTCTGCCTTCGTGGAGGCTGGATAGTCTCTAGCCTGCCTTCCTGGAAGCTGGATAGACTCTAGCCTGCCTTCCTGGAGGCCAACTAGCCTGTCGACGCTCTGGACCTCCCCACTACCATGACAGACAGCGTTAAGGAGCCACTGAGAACAACAGACATGTTTCTTCCCAACCCTCACTATATTCTAAAGACTAATTTCATTCTCCTATCACTGGGACACCAACCTTACGAGCAGCACCCAAATTAATGCAAAAAACGGAACCAAATATGTGTGTGTGTGTGTGTGTGTGTGTGTGTGTGTGTGTGTGTGTGTGTGTGTGTGTGTGTGTGTGTGTGTGTGTGTGTGTGTGTGTGTGTGTGTGTGTGTATGTTTAATTACCTACTCACTTATTTGTGGTTGCAGGGGTCGAGTCACAGCTCCTGGCCCCGCCTCTTCGCTGGTCGCTACTAGGTCCACTCTCTCCCTTCTCCATGAGCTTTGTCGTATCTCTTCTTAAAGCTATGTATTAACCCTGTCTAGACTACATCACTCTCCAGTTTGTTTCACTTCCTGACAACTCTATGTCTCAAGAAATACTTCGTAACATCCCTGTGACTTACCTGAGGTGGATCGTCTAGCACTAAGAAGAACATTTTAACCAGGGAAGCGTGTATGTGTGGTGTGAATGGATGTATTAGAGGGAACTGTGACTGAAGAAAGGCTAGTGATAATATTGTATAAATAAAAATGGAGGCAAAGAGGGGATAAAATTATTTTAATTCTAGAATTATGTGGAGCTTAGAGAGAAATTTTGGGAAGTATTAAGCGGGTTAATATGTCAGACATGTGTGCAACAGTTAGGTTGCTTTGTTTCGTAATGTTTGGCCTTCACAGTAGGCGTCTTCAGTCGAGTACAGAGGAGGCAGAAGAAGCAGTAAAGATGATGTAATCAGTCCATCGCCCTCTAAGACGTGGTATTGAGGTTGTCAGTCCCTCAGCCTGAGGAAGATCTCTGCTCCATAGTCCGGAACAATTTGAAACAATTGTTTAGGGAGTTTCGAATCTAGTGACTGACTGACCTGACTAGGTTAAGGCACTGGCTTAAGCTGGTGGAAGAACTGGACCTGCCTGGCATGGGCCAGTAGACCTGCTGGAGTGTTTCTCCTTTCTTATATTCTTAGAATTTTTGAGGGTGACCTAAATGATAATGAGTGGGAGACTAATAGATGTTGTAACAGGTAAATTTCCACTGCCAGACAACAAATGGATGCCTAGAAAAATTATACACAGAATAACTTTTGGTATTACCTGGAGATTACCTGGAGAGAGTTCCAGGGGTCAACGCCCCCGCGGCCCGGTCTGTGACCAGGCCTTCTTAGGTCAGTGTCCCAGGATGCGACCCACACCAGTCGACTAACACCCAGGTACCCATTTTACTGATGGGGAACATAGACAACAGGTGGAAAGAAACACGTCCAATGTTTCTACTCTGGCTGGGAATCGAACCCAGACCCTCGCCGTGTGAAGCGAGAGCGTTAACCACCAGGCCACCAGAGCCCAATATTTATTTTAATCACAAGATACGAGACACGATGCGTGATGGCAACAGTTTGTCTGTGTTGGTAGATAAAAGTTGGTGGGTAGACCCTTGGTCATGCATCATTTTAGAGACGTAATGGGTACATCAGTTCATTATTTAGATGGGAGACTGATGGATCTGAAAGAGAATATCATCAGTTGGTAAGAGGGAAGATAAATATTTGATTAAGCTACATGTAAATGAAATGTGGTAAAAAAAAAAAAGCCTCCTTTCGGAACATGCCTTCCTATACCACTTTTCAGTAATGTCATGTAACACGATCCTTCTATCAGTCTACAAATAAATAAATCCCTAGCGAAATTCTAAGTAATAAGATCATCAATCGGCCTAATAGTCTCTATACTAATTGATTTTGTGTGATTACCGATCTGTTAATAACAGCGTCAATCATTACTGAAAGTAAATAACTTTCTGTCTCTCTCCCTCACAGAGTACGTGTCGAGTACTATGTCAATGAGAATACCTTCAAGGAGAGACTCCACTTGTATTTCGTCAAAAACCAGCGCTCAAGTAAGTTGACACCTTTTTCCCAACAATCTAGTTATAAATGAAAACTAGACGATGTTTCGGTCTCTAGTGGGCCATCATCGCGTCCAAATGGAGGACCGAAACATCGTTTAGACGTAGGTATAAAAGTGTTTATTCTAATCTACACTTCTGCTTTTATAGAAAAAACCCAGCAGGAAGACAGGAAGATTTCGTCTAGTCAGACCATCATTATCTTATCTTATCTTATCTTATATACGACAGTTTATTTTTTACTCTTTACAATTACAGTAATTTCAATAAACATACATGAATTAACAAGTTAAAATATTAAACACTTGCTACTTTCCCTGACATAACTAACAAGTGTACTTACAGCATCTAAAATTAGACTAATATTTATAAAAATTAACTCCTTTAAACCCCAAAAATTTTGCCTAAACATCGATTTTATACAAAAATTAGAAGAGATAATTGCGTAAAAAAAATCAACCGTTCGTTTAGGATGTTGATAAATAAACTGTTTATTTTTAAAATTTAATGATGTTTTTTTTTAGAAGGTTAATAATGTTTATTTTTGAATGTTAATGATGTTTATTTTGAATGTTAACGAGTTTATTTTTGAAGTGTTAATAATGTTTTTATTTTAGAAGTGTCAATGATATTTAATTTAGAAGTGTCAATGAGTTTTATATTTAGAAGTGTTAAAAGATGTTTAATTTAGAAGTGTCAATGATTTTAAATTTTGAAGTGTTAAGAGTTTTTTATTTTAAAATGTCAATGATGTTTATATTTAGAAGTGTTTAAAGATGTTTTTTATTTAGAAGTGTCAATGATGTTATATTTAAATGCAATGATGTTTTTAAATTTTGAAGTGCCCCAAAGAGTTTTTTAAATTTTGAAAAGTCAAGAGTTTATATTTAGAAGTGTCTTGACGTTCTTATTTAGAAGAAGAAAAAAAAAAGAATGAATAAACTCGTCTTTTGAAATTTATCCACGATGTTTTTTTAAATAGTTTTTACTGCAAACGCCTTTTTTCAAAGGGGCTTTTACCCTTTAGAGGAAAACGGGGGGACCCCCATTTCATATATAAAGCTATGAAATCAGCCATCATTTTTTAAAAACCCCCGCGTTTATTTTCTTTAATTAATGAGTGTCCCGCTGTACAGTCTAAATTTTTAAAATTTTTTATTTTTTGTTTCAGCGAGATGTTAGTATCAGCCGATTTCCTTCATCTTTGTGCATCACCTAGTGTCGTCTTACTATCTTCTATGTCATTGCTATATCTCCTCTTTCATGAGTTCCTCTGTGGTTTTAACAGTTTGTCTAATGAGTTTCTATTGGTTTTTATATATTTTGTGCGTTTCTGTATGGTTTTATAGCTCATCTTTTATGAGTTTCCATGTGGTTTAACTGTTGTTTTATGAGCTATGTGGTTTTATAGCTCCTCTTTTATGAGTTTCGTGTGGTTTAACTGTTGATAAATTAGACACATGTGCAACTCTTGGGTATCTTTATTGAGGAAACGTTTCGCCACACAGTGGCTTCATCAGTCCATACAAAGGAGAAACTTGAAGAACAGGAGGAGAATGAGGTAATCAGTCCCTCAACCTTGAGTCGATGTGGTCAGTCCATCAATCTTGAATAGAATACGGCATATGAGCGGAGAAGCAGCTTATAAACCGTAGGCAGGAGAGGTGCAGCAGTCGTAGGTGGTGTCACATTTGTCCAATGTGGAAGTAGGTCGTGTCCAAGGTCGTGCCCAAGGTCGTGCCCAAGGTTGTGCCCAAGGTCGTGCCCAAGGTCGTGCCCAAGGTCGTGCCCAAGGGTTAGGCAAGCGAAGAATTCCCAAGTATTAAGATCCCAAGAAGTTGCAGTGTCTGACAGGATTGTAGATGATTGGTTCACAGAACCGGGACTGATTACCTCATTCTCCTCCTGTTCTTCAAGATTCTCCTTTATATGGACTGATGAAGCCACTGTGTGGCGAAACGTTTCCTCAATAAAGATACCCAAGAGTTGCATATGTGTCTAATTTATCAACATGTCGGTTCTGTGAACCATTCATCTACAATGGTTTAACTGTTGTTTCATGAGCTATGTGGTTTTATAGCTCCGCTTTTATGAGTTTCCATGTGGTTTAACTGATGTTTTATGAGCTATGTGGTTTTATAGCTCCGCTTTTATGAGTTTCCATGTGGTTTAACTGTTGTTTTATGAGCTATGTGGTTTTATAACTCCACTTTTATGAGTTTCCATGTGGTTTAACTTGCCTTATGAGGTATGTGGTTTTATAGCTCCGCTTTTATGAGTTTCCATGTGGTTTAACTGTTGTTTTATGAGGTATGTGGTTTTATAGCTCCTCTTTTATGAGTTTCCATGTGGTTTAACTGATGTTTTATGAGCTATGTGGTTTTATAGCTCCGCTTTTATGAGTTTCCATGTGGTTTAACTGTTGTTTTATGAGCTATGTGGTTTTATAACTCCGCTTTTATGAGTTTCCATGTGGTTTAACTTGTTTTATGAGGTATGTGGTTTTATAACTCCGCTTTTATGAGTTTCCATGTGGTTTAACTGATGTTTTATGAGCTATGTGGTTTTATAGCTCCGCTTTTATGAGTTTCCATGTGGTTTAACTGTTGTTTTATGAGCTATGTGGTTTTATAGCTCCGCTTTTATGAGTTTCCATGTGGTTTAACTGATGTTTTATGAGCTATGTGATTTTATAGCTCCGCTTTTGTGGGTTACTATGTTATTATAGCTCTCCTGTGAGATTATATACGCTGTTTTAACTGCTGTTTTTCTGGTATTTAACAGTTTAGACAATTTAAATACGTTTAGTGTTTATAACTTGTAAATAAACATTAGTAAATACACATGTGACTGTTGGGTATCTTTAGTGGTGAAATGTTTCGCCTACGCAGGAGGCTTCGTCAGTTAAATAAAGAGGAGAAAAGATTGTAGGCAGCAGAGGTGACGAGGTGAAGATGAGTTTGAGGTAGTCAGTCCCTCAGCCTGGAGAAGAGTTCAGCTCCATGGTCTTAGACGGAAGTGTTGGGGAGTTACGGGCAACTGATGTTCTTAATCATTCTTGGTGTGTCTGTTCTCACCTCCTTGTTGACTTCTAGAGGAATATTTGTAATGTTAAGAAGTATTACCACTGAGGAAGATACTTCGCTTATTAAATTTGATTTCTCTTTGAGAATTTAGAATAAGCCTGGCTATGTTTAGTGGGTGGCAATAATGTGGCAGGGGAAACACTAGGCTGTGATTCTGTTCCTGGTATAATGGCTGTTACGAACACTGGTGGCAGTTTAAAGGCTTGTCGTACCTGGTTGTAAAACTGTCAGTAAAACAGGGCAATCATGGACTGGCCCGCGGGGGCGGTGACCCCCAGAAGACTCTCCAGGTAGAGAACAGCATGGGAACACGGTAAACACAGCAGGGGTAGATTTCTTTACTCATGTAATCCTTCACCATTTATTTACGTTATCTTCTGTGTTAATATACTGAGATATCAGATACAGTGCAGGCAAGAGTTGCTCAAGGCAAGAGAGAACACAACCAGTGTCAGTGGAAATCTGCCACTCAGCCAGGTGGGAAGGAGTGAGGTCACCTTGGCTGAAGTAGCCGGCTTCCACGTGACTGGCTGGTTGAACTGGACAATTAGGGCAGCAGTGGGGGCCCCAGAACTGCTACGCTCTGCAATGCCCAATGGTTGTGTGACGAAAGACGAATAAAATATAACATACTCGGCGCACGACACAATGTGTTTTATCTTAGTTATTCTCTATAGCTTATTCTGAGATCACAGTAAGTGAAACAGTAGATAGAGTCTTGTTAGTTACCTTCCTCTATACTTCGTACTTTAACTATAACAGTAGATAGAGTCTTGTTAGTTACCTTCCTCTATACTTCGTACTTTAACTATAACAGTAGATAGAGTCTTGTTAGTTACCTTCCTCTATACTTCGTACTTCAACTATAACAAACATATCAAGACAGAGAAGTGAGTTATCCATCTACTCTGTTAAGGTGAAATAGACAGACTACTCAACTCATTTACATTCCCTTTAGCTCATTCATCTTTACAGTCTAGACTGGCGTCCCAGCAACCAAATACAGAGCCTGTGTTGGTCATACAGTGTAACCTCAGTGCCTTGGATCAAGAACCCCTCGCTAACAGATATGCTTGATAAATGATAATTCTTTTATCTTAATAAAAATAGTTCAATATTAAAATTAAAAGTATTTATTCAACATTAAACTACTGAAATTATTAAAAAAAAAAAACTCAACCTGAGAAAACAAGAATGACAATCGCCTTAAAAGCGCAATTCACCTGAACTTATTTAACTTGGCAGAGGCCATTAAGATTTAATGGCATCTTACGAGGCCAGAATATTACTTAGTCATTATATGAGTCCACCAAATTGGAAAATTTCTCGAAATTTTATTATTGGAATATATTGCACGAACACTGAGAACTCTGGAACATAGAGTTACTTAGAGATAATAAATACTGTAGACAGTGAAGAGGTGAGATATATAGATACATACGAGGAAAAATCCCAGAGGTGTGTCTGTGATGTTGAAATATTTTTTGGAGAGACGAATAACAAAGACGAGAGAGAGAGAGAGTGAACCTCGACCTGCTAGTTTCAGGACTAGCATGCCGTGGGTTCGAGTCCTGTGAGCAATGAGTACAGTTTATAGAGTGGGGAAAGAATGAGGATCACGAATGTGGAGGAAGTGAAGAACAGGAACACTTCTCATCATGCGAGAAAGCAACATCAAGAAGACAGATGGTGATGGTTGACCCGTGAAGAAGACAGAGACGTGTGTAGACAAGAGTGACACGCTGAGGACAACGGAACAGAAGTTTGCGTAGTTAAAAGATTAACGTGGTTCACTAAGGAACAACGATGTTTAATGAGACAGAAATAAAACATGTCATAAACACGAATATTTGACATACAAGCTTGTATAATAATAATAATAATAATAATAATAATAATAATAAT